TGATATGTTGTGTTTTTGACATATTACACACATACTTTGCATATCATTTTTGTGCTTTCCTGAAGTATTCTTAGTGTTTTTTGATTTATTTCAGATGGAGAACGAGTTGGAATGCACCAGAAGGAGCATATGGAAGAAAGAATGCAAAAACCAGAGTTTTCCATCGCGGAGCACCCATGCGGAGCAAAACCCGATTTGCTCCCGTTCTTTAATGAGACCTCTAATCTATTTCGGGAAATACTCAAAACGCAGCACCTCTCTACCCTAGCAGGTGTCGTTCTTCCAATAAAGAACCCTGGCTGCCCCTACTCTTTCACGGAGAGAGAGCTTAGACTAGTTTTTACACAAGAAACTTGTTGAGACTTTTTGTTGAAGATTTGTTCTAGCTATTTTGTAAGGGCCAATGCTTCATCCTCTTGGTTTCTAGAGAATAAATCCCTGAACGCTCTTTATACTTTGATTTATCTAATGCATTATTCAGTCATGACTTGTGTGTTTTTATGTGCTATGATCGAGTAGTCGATTTGTTAACCTAGGGTTCTAGGGTGTTGATCCATTGAACTGAACATAGATAAGCCTCATTCTCGCCTTTGCTCTCCACTGTTCTTACTGCTGATACTGATTTGATCACTTAGTATTTGATTCCAAGTTTAATATTTTATCATTAATCCTGAATTAGATTGCTAGATCTGTTGAAAGCAAGCATCACTTCCCTGGTCAGCGAAAGTAGATATCAGGGTGTGATGTGAGCATATTAGGTTTGTGCTTATTGTTTGATGTTGAGCGTTGATCCACGCGAGAGCATAGGTATCATTGCTCCCCAACGAAAGGAGAACGCCTGTGAGAGCAGGGTGTTCTAGTTAAGAAATCTAAGTTCTAGGCTGCACTTAAAGAGCTTGAATAATTGTTTGGTTCAGTATGGTTAACACCCAATGAGACAACCTAGGTTGACATCCTTATATCCTGAATTTAAAACCCAATTTAGTTATTTTTTTTACACAACACTTAATCGTTTTAGCTTGAATATGATCCTAAAGAAATAAAGTGTAATATTTGGTCTCTGTGGATTCGATCCTAAAGTGCTACATCGACATACCATTCGATTGTGGTAGTGTGCACATTAGGTTAATTAGTGTGCGTTCGCACGTAATATCAATTATACACTTAAATTTAAATCATAACTAAGACCTCTTCACTATCCAATATAGAAACTGGTGATACTATTTCGGCCACAATGGAATCCCGTAAATTAATTTCCTTAACCAATATGCTTATTTACCGGCATATGCTAATGGTACAAACTTCTATTCTGTAGACAAATTGTTTCATGCAACTTTGCTTCTTGGAAACCCATGAAATAGAATCAAGAAAAAATATTCAACCACTTATAGCAGAATAATTTTCTATATTGATAATCAAACTTGCATCGAAATATCCTTCGACAATTAAAGGAAATATGACATATAACAAACCAAAATTTATGGTTCCATTCAAATACTTGAATTCTGATATTTATTGTCCTCTATAAGACACAAGTTCCACACTCACATCCATGAGAGTTCTCATTGGAGAACAATCTCACAACTAAACTTCTTAACAACATTATCAATATAATAAGATTGTGTTAAAGATTGTTTCTTACATGATTCAAGTTTCAAGAATCACATCCACATCTTTGAAAAAACACATGTTTTTGTAAACTCTACTTGTCAATAGCCAGTGACAAGGATCAATATGTCATTAACATATAAGAAAATGATTATTACATTACTGGACTCATCAATTTTTTATATAAACACTTATCCTAATAGTTTAACTCAAACCACTTGATAAGACAATCTCATTAAACATTTGATGTTACTGCCTAACTGTTTTCTTTACCATACAAATTAATGTATACATTTTATACTTATCACAAGGTACAATAAAACTTTAAGGCTGCTTGATATACACTTCTTTTTAAGCCATCGATCTATATCAATGGATCATAGTCTATAGCACAGACCATGAACAATATGTATATCACTCATGATGATTCAGCCTTAATCCCAATGCACTTACATCCATAAGTATCAATAACTTGCATGATTCAAATCATAAAATTCTAGTGAAATTAGATTTTCAACCTTTCAATAACATTACGTTTGTATCATTTCAATAACATTATGTTCGCACCCTTCCGGTAACATTATTTTCCCACCCCTTCGGTGACGTTACATTCTCACATTTTTGGTGATTTTACATTTTCAACTTTTCGGTGACATTATGCTTGCACTCTTTCGGTGACGTTACATTCACACTCTTTCAATGACGTTACATTCACACCCTTTAGGTGACGTTATATTCGTACCTTTTCGGTGACGTTACATTTGCACCCTTTTGGTGATGGTACATTCGCACCTTTTCGGTCCTGAATTGTTTGCACCCTTTTGGTCCTGAACCGTTTGCACCCTTTCGGTCCCAAACTGTTTGCACCCTTTCGGTCCCAAACTGTTTGCACCCTTTTGGTCCCAAACCGTTTGCACCCTTTCGGTCCCAAACCGTTTGCACTCTTTCGGTTCCAAACCGTTCGCACCCTTTCGGACCGAACCGTTCGCACTCTTTCGGTTCCGACACGTTCGCACCCTTTCGGTTCTGACACGTTCGCACCCTTTTGGTTCTGACATGTTCACACCCTTTCGCTCCCGAATCGTTCGCACCCTTTTGGTCCCAACACGTTCACACTCTTCGGTCTTGACATGTTCACACTCTTTCGGTCGGACGTTCGTACCTCTTGGGTCACGACACGATCGTACCTCTTGGATCACGACACATTCGTACCTCTTGGGTCACGAAACGTTCGTACCTCTTGGATTATGATGTACTCGCATCCCTTGGATCACAATGCATTCGCTCCCTTGGATCACGATATGATCGCACCCTTTGGATGACACCCCTTGATAGCATCTCTTGATGGCATCCTTGATGGCACCTTTTGGTGGTACCATGTTCGATCATCATTAGTAATATTATTTAAGATGAAATTAACATATCTTTGAGAATATAGCAACGATGTATTATTCTCTATTATTTATCTTCTTGCTCTATCTTCGTAAGTTTACTCTTCCAAATATTTACAACTTTTCAGACTTTGGTTTTATCGCTCGCACAAATACACTAGTCACGGTTCACACGAAAATACTCTTTAAAATTGTTGGTTTATTTGTGGTTTGTAACCCGAATGGGTGTGAACTATATATTTGGATAATGATTGTATTGTCATTGTTTCCTTCAAAAAGTATTTTGGCCATACTCAAAGTTTTTGGGCTACAAGAGATCCCTTTATAAGATAAGACAATAAATATCACATTCTTGTTCTAGACTAAGATATAAGAATAACAAATAAAGATTTAATGTTTATATGTGTTTCCTTAAACATCTTTGATGATATTTGAACAATGAATCTCTCTCTATATCTACTAACTAGTTTTCAATTTTCTTATGATTCAAATTATTAATTGTGATTCAAGTTGTAATTTATTAATGCCAACCGATTTCTTATATACAGTATGAAGGATTATAATGGTTAACACCAATATTTGCAACTATTGACATCAACAATTGCAATGATTGATCAAAAATCATAATAATTTTTTTACTAAAAATTTTGATTATCAATGGTATACCAAAAATTACAATGGTTCATAACTAATAATTAGAAACACAAAAAATTATTTTATTCATTTAAACAATTGCAATACTTCACTTTACTCCACTTAAATATCCAATACTTTCCCGGGAGTCACATCCGACCACTATGTTCCCTCTGAAGCAATAGTTTGACCCATGTTATTCATATCCTCTTCGGGTTTTTTTTTTTTTTGGTGGAGCTTGAGATTGCTCTGTTCTTTCCACTAAAATCAGAGTATCCTCTGTTTTTTCAGAACTTGATGTAGAAGTCGTCTCTGTCTGACCTTCTTCCTTCTCTGTAGAACTTGCTATCATCTAACCCTCCCTCTGCAGTATCCAAATTTTCGCTCCCCTTAAGCAAAGTTTCCACTATCTCACCTTTTGCTTCTCCCAAATTACTGTGTGTTCCCACTTCTGTACTCATTTTTGGAGCTAGACATGCTTTTTAACAACCCACAAACACCTAAACGACAATACTCCACAGAACCAAAAGAAAGGAAACGTTTCAATATCTTTTGTAGGTTACAAGAATATTGGAGATGCCCATTATCAGACGAAACTACACCTGTAGAATGTTTAATCAAAGCAAATATTTTAGACAAATATTAACAACGTAAAAGAGTTGAAGATCATAAAGAGGGACTTCTTGCCTAAAGTACTCAAAATACAGAATCGATAAATTATGGGAATCGTGACTTCTTGTCATCACCAAGAAATTATCGTTATTGATAGAGAAAGCTGATGAATGACAGTTTAATTAGGAAGACGAAATTTTATCACTTTTAAATGCATGCTCGGTAATGTAAGTTGATTCTTCTTCGTTTGCTTAATAGTTAATGGGTAAAAATAGTAATAAAAAGACCCTTTCTGTATTTGGCAATCATGATATATAATCAACTAGCCAAAGCATGATTCCAAAGTTCTTATCTTTTGACCAAGTGCATTATATAATCATTATATAATCATTCTTTTAGCCAAAGCAAATGTGCTTACTTTTCTTCTCACCAATTATTACTGTAGGATCAGAAAAAAAAAAGTGAATAACTACAGCCACTGCCGTAAAACTACGTAATGGTTTTTGAACCGCAAGCCAAAAAAGCTCTTTCAAAATGAGTACAAAACTGTCAAAAACTATAACTAAATATTAGTCCAAAAATACATCTGGAACCATGATCCAAACTTAAGCCCGAAGTGATCTGAAACTCAAACTTGTGATAGATTGTAAATTTTAACGCAATCAAAACTTATTTTCAATATACAACATATCCATTTAAGATTTTTTTTATATTTCAATTAAATTAAAAATCAATATAATATGTTAATATATTAACCACGGGGTGGTGGGCTAGCGGTCTTGAGGCAGTTCAACGCCAATAGGACCCGGGTTCGAATATCCCATGTGGCCACGGAATGCCTTATGCCCTCTCCAAGTTGAGTTAAGCGTCGCGTTGGTGCCATCGCGTCGCGTTGGTGCCATCGCGTCCCTTGGGTAATGGGTATTGGTGCCGGCTGGTTCTGGGTCAGGGGATTAGTTGGTTGAGTTAATCGAACCGTTGGTGCCACCACGTTCGTCTTCGAACCTCCTGTTAAAAAAAAATGTTAATATATTAATGTATAGTACTTAATTACAGCTACATTTTCGATGGACTTATAATCTGACCTTTTTGGCCAAAGATTTCACCAAATGCCTATTGAAAATTGTCAAAATAAATTTCATCAAAATTAGTTCTAATAATTTTCAATTAACTTGAAAAATCATAAAATCTGTTAATTTCATAAAGTAATGAGTTGAAGTGTGGTTTTATAATAAATTATGCATGTCGATTTTAAAGGAGATTAAGACTAGGGCTGAGATGCATCCGGATATCCGGGAAATTTGAAGTATCCGGATCCGTGATTTTAATATCCGGATCCGCATTCGTGTCTTCCGGATATCCGGACGTCAGATATCCGTCTAGATATTGTGATATCTCCGGGTATCCGGATTGGGATTCGTATCAGTAAAATAATTTATTTTTTAAAATTAACTTTTTAAATAATACAGAAATTAAATATTTATGAATATATATATGAAATATAATATTATTAATATTAAAAGAGTATCTTATAAACTTATTTTGTGTATAAATATTAATATATCAGATATAAGTAATAATAAAATAAAAAATAATATATTTTTTAAAATATGGATCCGAATCCGGATATCCGGACCTAAAAATTAAGATATTCGGATCCAGATTCGGTTTGCACGGATCAGAGATTTTACTATTCGGATTCGGATTCGGGTACCTCTGGATATCCTAATTTCAGAGAGGATCCGGATCGGATCTCGGATCCGGATCCGGATCCCAGATAAAAGTCCCAGCCCTAATTAAGACTACAATAAAACAGTTGGTGAACGGTTTTCACGAACCATTAATATTATTTAAAAGCTACAAAAACCATGAGATTTTGTATGAATTTTCTGACATAATCAAAAAGTTCGACAGCCTTAATTTGGATTTAACTTCCTTAGATTTCATTTGATAATACTATGAGTTTTCATTTGATAATACTATGGGAAGTAGGCATGGATATTTTATCCAGATCCAAAAATCCAAACCGGAACCTACCCATAATTACCTAATCTGAAACCGAACCGAAAATTTATAAATCTATATGGAATTCAAAATTGATCTATCCGAAAAAACCGGAACCAAAAAGAACCGATTCTAATAGATCCGGACCCAAAAAATCGATCCAAATATTTCAGATCCGATAAGAACCGTTTTATACCCGATTTAAATACATGAGTATCTAAAGCTATAATCTCATTTATTCAATTTTCTAAATTTTAGTTTATGATTTAGTTGAAATGTTTTTTTGTTAGCCATCTTTATTATTACTTTTATAACATTTTTTCAAGTAATATGAAACTTTAAGTGTCAAATATAACGTGTAAAAATGTTTAATTTCAATTATTAATAGTTTTGTATTGATTATTTTACAAAATTTAGATAACTATGATGGTCTTGGTTAAATAATTATTTATTTTGGGTACTTAATCTCTTCTCAGAAACCCTTGTCCGAAAGGAACCGATCTGGACCCAACCCAAAAACCCGAACGTCGAGGTCCATAGCTCAAGATGTGAAGTATTCTACAAAGTATAAGTAATCGTACTTCAAAATGTGAACGCGGTATTTTGTACTTGAATATTTTTGTTATATGTTGTATACTGTACACGTTGTAATTAGATTCATCAGTTGTATAACCATTATTCATTTTTTGTCATCACTAAAACAGGCTCTATAGAAACTCCGTAAACCAAGATGAGAATTTTATATCTAATATCTATACAGACGACATAGGACAGTTGACTACAAGCACTCCATATAATACTATCCGACTTTGTATTTGAAGTTTAGAGCACATGTGTACAAATATGTTGAATCTGTCTTTGCATCTTCGAAACTCTTCTAGGTATATTACAAACGATGTCATTTTTTATGTTTCAGTCTTCACCATGCTAGAGAAATATGTCAGTAAATATCACAAGTAATTATCGGAATCATTCCATATTTCAAATATGTGCTTCAAATTCTGAGTGCAATAGTATGAGGGTAGACATTATGTTCCTTGCATTCATCAATCTCTCAAAACCTTCAAACGTACTATATCACCTCTGTTTCAAAAAAAACAATTTTATTTCATGAACCATCCATATAACATCATCATCCTACTTTAATTGTTGTTATGCCTTTCCTCCTCTCTAAGAGCATGTGGCTGTCTTAACATGTTGGTTGTTGAAGTGTGTGCTTCACTCCTAATCATCGATTATGCATGTGCTAGTTGAAGAGTGTTTTGAGGGTATCTATCAATATTGTTATATGGTTTAGCAATTTGACATTTCTAAATATACAATAAAATTCATACAAGATGATAGACTTTCATTTGTAACAAAATTCACCAAAACAAATAGTCTGTATTGGTGAATACCAATAGTCTTGGGAATGTATCCAGATTTGTCGTAATTCTTGAAAGAGCCCATGTTTGTACTGCTGAATAACATTGAAAATAACGTGATTAATTATTTTCTCATCAGCTATACAGTCTAAGATAATTTACCCTATAAAATGTTTTAACTTTGGTAGACATACAATTTTCCAGAAATAAGATTGTACAGATTTAACATCTTGTCCAAACGCATGGTTCATCATGCCTCTGTCATGATATAGGTGGTCTATGTGATATCAGTGGCGGACCTATACCTTAAGATTGTACAGATTTAACATTTTGTCCATTACGCCTTATGTCGCCAGAAACCGTCCAAGAAAGAATAGTCATTGGCTAAGGACAGACTCTTCTTAATTATTTATTAGACCCTATGCAATTTATAAGAATAATACATATAATTCCTAACTTTTTAGCGAGATTAAACAAAAAAATTGCAAAAATAATTTTGTGCTGCAAATATACCTTGAGCACATGCCGAGAGGGTTTGTGTAAGGATTATACGATGATGACTCCAACACATAAGAATTTTGTTTGTGTTAGCTGCCGTGAAAACTTATTAATCAGAAATTTTGCGTCCTACAGTAATCATTAATGTGTCAAACTTGGGCATTTATTAAAAAATAATATTGCCATAAGTAAAGAGATTTGAACTTCAATGGAGCAAAAATAATAGACCAATCTTTTGGAGGGTTCTTTAAGGAAAACATGACCTATAAGAATCTTCCAATTTGATACCAAGCAGCTTGTCCAGCAACCTTTTCTTTAGCCAAGTAGTATAACTTATTTACGCATTTTGTTTAACTTCAATTTTTATGTGATGTTTACATGCCTAACGCATTGCGTACTATGCAATCGCTTAAGCCTTTACATTAGAGTTGAAATACAAAGCATTTAAACGGAACTATACACGTTTGACTATGAGTTTTTTTTTTTTTGAGAAAGACTATGAGTTTTTTTTCAAAAACTTATATACAGTTCAGTGTGCAGTCACCAAAAAATACTCTTACCATTATGTTCACATAGTTTTTTTTTTGAACTGCATTATGCTCACATAGTTTTCTGTTTTTGAACTTTTCATTATGTTCAGATAGTTACACGAATGATACAACATATATGCACGTATCTATCTATATATATAATATCCTTTGAGGATACAACATATATATATATATAGAAGAAAAGGAAATACCTCACAACTTTTTGTGAATTGTGATCTTAAAGGAAGTAATGATGATTTGAGCTCCCATCTGGTCCTTCTTTACGGAAAATTCTTTATTTATTCTCCTTGTTATGCTCCACTTGACTAGAGGTAAAGGTCGCAAATTAAAGAACAAAAATGTAAATTGCATAATTTACGTACATCAGTTTCTGTCGTTAAAATACCAAAACACTTTTCTAGTATAACTTACGAGTGAGTAAACTATAGAATTATATATGATGCTACTTTTAACTCAACAGCTGCATATTTTTAATATTTTCTTTTCAAAAGTGAGTATAGCGTAATGTATCGAAGATCAGTAACATACTAACATGAGCATATTAGTATACATGCTCAAGCCTTGTCATAAAGGGAATACCGAAATAGTTATGTAGAGTTATCTTCTTGTGTTTGGCTTTTCATTGATCGAAAAGCATAAAGAGAGAACAATTTTCATCTTTTTATACGAAATTAAGTTTCATGATTAATTTAACTTACCTTCTTGGTGCTTCCTTTTCTGTCTTTTCATAATAATTATTTATCAGTAACCAATGGGTCGTTGCCATTTTAAAGATTTGTGAAATATTTTTTTATCAACCAGTGAGGACTTAATATATGCAGAAATTTAACAAATTAATTAATGTCGTTGAAAAGTGGTCAAAATGCTATACCAACAACATGCCTGGAGCTTTTATAGGTTTAGCATTTTCTTGACAACATAGGTTTAGCATATAAAAATACAAAGGCGGTATCGTATACGTATACAACAGAAATTGAAAAGAAAAAATTCCTCCAGCGTGGGAATAAACTTAATATATGTTCGTTAAGTAATTGTATTTTTGTCGTTGTGTGAGCTTGAAGAGTATCTTACCAACTTCTTCCACAAATGCAAAAGAGCCTCAAATGTGTATATATATACACATACATTTCAAAAGTTACTTTCTATTTCTTGGTCATCGTTTCAAAATTATAGAATACTAGCTAATTTAAAAATTAATTATAATCCTTTTTTTAAAAAACTTTTGTGTATACAACATTTTTTTCTTGTAACCACATTGTGGTGGTTTAGTGATTTCTAATAAATAAAAAAAATTATCATGTTAGTTTAGACTTTAGACAAAAGATTGCTTCTCCTCCTGCGTAAAATCAATAGTTTCAAATGGAGTTACACATATATAAATCCATTACTTATATATTTATATACCAATCCAAAGAGAAAGTCTATATGTGGACACATTCCCTTAAAAATTAGTCTAAGTCATTCCATTAGTTTTAGATACTCTCAATTTGATAAAAAAAAACATTTTTTCTTGTTTTGACCCAAAAAAGTAAACATAATGCTCTAAAAATTGGTCTAACGTCTATATGTTCATCTTGGCATCAAATTGGTTATGGCTAAAAGAATTTTTGTAAAATCTGATTTAAACAGCTCAAATTTGTTGGAATAATTTTAAATCAGTTAAACTCGATATAATCTGGTCTAATTCGATCTAAATTGGCAAAATTAATTAAATCAAGTAACAATTTGTCTAATTTTTTTTTTGTATATCTAACTTCTATAATACAT